GATTAGAATCGATTTACTTGGCTCATAAATTCTCTTACTTATTTATATTTCCGTCTATTAAAATTAATTCATTGCTAATAATAGTTGGTTCGCGAGTCGGACTTTCCCAATATACGCTCAATGACTTTGTTCAGGGTAAACAAAACAACTACAATAATTGTTTGAATAAATTTCGTGTGTAAATATTTTGATGTGACCTATCATTGACCATAGATATGTTCCCACAAACCAAAGATGGGTTGAAATTAAAATGGACCCAAAAAAAGGAAAACCATTTCAAACGGAACAAAGAGTTTGACACCGATACGGGACTAGTCCACATTTCACTCATTATTTTGTGAAGGTTGAATTGAACAACTCATTTTGTAGTGCAACCCATTTTGATTGGTAGGCAGCCCTCCACTACCATTCTAAAGCTTTGCGGTGGCGTCGCATTCCCATCTGAGAATTCTTTCTTGGGGGTTTTTCTTCTTCCATCTGGATCGATTCATAGAATTAGTAATGATATACCCTATTTACCTACCATACCTATAAATAATATTATACAGAAAACTTGTTAACTGACGTATTCATTAATTCTTTTGTACTCATGTGACGAGAGAAATAAAGATAAATAGTGCATACACTATAACTTTAAGATTTACTTTATATTATAGCGTTGTTCATGTATATTAAGGATCTTATCCATATTTAAAAAGTTCATTCTTCATTAATATATGGTATGTAATTTTGTTATTAGAGGAGAAACATAAGTTGCAATAGGATAGGATGTATTGACGGTGGTGGAAGTAGAAATCAATTGTTGTTTTTCCTAATACAAGCTTTTAAAAGGGAGAATGAAAACTTGACATTTAATGCATGGATAAATGCTCTAATGTAGGTAGTTGAAGATCTCTACGACAAATTAAAGGAAAAAGAACTACTTCCATTAATTACATGTTAACTCATACCTTGTTTGCAAACTATGACAAGTCTTAGCCCTCTTCTCAGAAAAACAGGAAAAACCTCTATAGTTGCACATACTTTGAGGGGGGAGGAGATCACTATTCCTCCTTCTCCCCTCTCCTTTCTATTTTCACGCATAAATCCCTCTCTCCTTCCCTACTTTTCCCTTTTATGTCCTCTCATCTCCTTCCCACCCAACCTCCTATGGGTGGCATTTTAGATCGAAAAACTGAAAAACCGTAAAAACCAACTGCCATTATACCGCATTGGAACCGCAATAGCTAAAAACCGACCGAAAATTGCGGTTTTAGAAATCGAACTGCAATTGCAGTTGTAGTTGTGGTATGTGATTTTGGCAACTCATGGTTACCGCAAACCGCAAATATATATATTTTTTAAATTGCATTTTAGTAGTTAGATGTTGTGTTTTAATTTGGTTAAGTTTAAACTATTATTAATATGCTTTTATGTTGTTGCTTTTGTGTTGTGTTGTGTTATAGATGGAGTCTAGCCGTAACGCACCTAATACCTCTAATCCCCCAAACACAAACCGATACACCCGAAACACAACCTCCACTCCAACTCATAAAGAAGGGATTCTTCTTATAATAAAATCCACTCACCACCACCTACACTTGAGTTCTCCTTTTGATTTATAACTTTAATTAACTTTGAATTGAATTTTTCTTTAGGTTGTGAATGCTTGAGAAGTTGGGGTTGAGGTTGTGAATTTATATATGCTTGAGAAGTTGAGGTTGTAAATTTATATATGCTTGAAAAGTTGAGGTTGTGAATTTATATTTTTTGGTTAAAGTATGCTTGAACTCAAAAAGCTTCAAAAGAAGCATCAAACCTAGGCTTAAAAGTGTGGAAGATTGAATTTTTACGACACAAAAAGACCACACTTAAAGATCTAAAATTGTCTAATTTAGGCCCAAAATATTCAAATCGGTTTAAACCGTTAATTCACAGTAACCGACCGATTTTTGTGGTTTATCGCAATGCGGTAAACCACAAAAAACAGTCGGTTTGCAGTTTCAAAAATCACCTTACCGCAAATAGTCGGTCGGTTTGCGGCCACCCATCCCCTCACCTTCCCTCTCCTCTCCCCTTTTTTTTTTTTTTTTTTTTTTTTTGCATATCTAGGGTTTGAGCTTTTGATATTCTTGAGGACCACGTGGTTGCCTTTATAGGTTTTATTGGGTCGTTTTGCAAATTTCGAGTTCCAGCTTTTGATTTACTTCGTGTGTTTTTTGAGTTTAATGCATGTTCGTAGTCTCTACTTGTAATTTTTTACTTGTGAGAGTTTAAAGATTATAGTTTGCAATTGTAGTTCTATGCTTTTGCAAGCTTGCAACTTTTATGTTGGAATTTCTTTGGCCATTTGTGTGGAGGTACATTTGTGTGCCTGATGTTGCCTACAAAGTCTTCCTTATTTGGATTAACCCTTTGTGGTTATTGCGCTTCCGTATTTGTAATAACCCTTGTGTAGTTATCTGTATTTGTATTGGTTCTTGTAACTGACGACCTTTGTGCCTGAATTATAAATGCAATTTGTCGCCTTTGTCTTAAAAAAATATGAGATTGGAACTTTCTCTGCCCATCTCACTGACACCTAAGCTAAAGTTAATGGATTACATGCTCACTTATCCAAATTAATTACTCATACTCTTGTTCAAAGCATCCGGTGTAAGATATTTTCTTAGTCATATTCTGACCTCACCAAACTGAATTACATACTCACCAAACTTGTGGACATCTCAACCAACAAAAAAGATTACAATTATAAATAAATAAAACAAGGGAAAGGATTATCAAAATCACAAAGAGAAAACTATGACCTTTTGTGATTATGAAAGGCTATGTCTTTGTATGGATTCTGATTTCGAACCGTCAAAGCAGCTCTTTTCTCTCACGCAAAGAAATATTAGAAAGATGAATATGTTCTAAGTTATAAAGTTTTTTATTTATCTGAAATTATACTATGAGTTCAAAAGAAATTACATTATCAAAACTTGCCATTTAAAAAAAGTTACAAAACTATGAAAAATATAAGTTGCGTGCACTTCCACTCTAGCCGCACAGACCTTGAGGGGGGAGGAGGATTCCTTTCGCTGCTTTGATGCACAAATCCCCCTCTCCTACTTTTCCCTATCTTGCCCTCTCATCTTCTTCCCACTCCATCTCCCCTCACTTCTTAACCGCCCATCCCCTCACCTTCCCTCTGCTTTCCTTTTGTTTTTTGTTTTGTTTTGTTTTTTTTTTTTTCTGGTTGCAATTTTGATTTATTTGGGGACGACGTATATGCCTTTGTTGGATCATTTTTCGGTTCTAGCTTTTGATTTACTTCGTGTGTTTTAGTTTTAGTTTGTAATAAGTGCATCAACTCCTTTTGAGTTTGTTGCGTGTTTGTAGTCTCTGCTTGTAATTTTTTACTTGTGAGAGTTTAAACATTGTAGTTTGCAGTTGTAATTTTGTACGTTGTGGTTTTATATCGGAATTTCTTTGGGCCTTTAAGGCTATGTGTGGAGGTACTCTTGTGCGTCTAATATCGACGATGGAGACCTCCGTATTTGTATAACCTTTGTAGTTACTGCGCTTCCGTATTTATAATAACATTGTGTGGTTAAATGCAATATATCATCTTTATCTCAATATATATATATATATTTATGTATGACATGACACAAAAGTGAAGGGACTTAAAATCATCAACAACAAATAAGTAAATTGCAGCAAACTTATATTTTTAATTTTGAACTTATCCTAAATTTTCTATATTTATTTTGATGTACGCATATGTTTTATTGTAATATTTAATCAGGTGCACAATCTCTATCTATCATAAAAGTCAACGGAAAACATACAAAATTGCAGCATATAAAAATTGGGCAGCGTAGTCTTTTGGGTAATCAGACGGATAGAAAATACAAACAAACGTTCCAATAAGGGCGGGCGGAATGATGAAGAAGCAAAGCTATGGTCCGTGGAGTGTTGGGCGGTGATCAGACTGCTGCCAGCTGTAGAAAATCTTGTGGGGCCAGCTGCTTCTGTCACTTGATGTGGTGCCAATTAGTTCAACATTTCAGTTAACTTGTATTAAAATCTACTAATAATAATTTGTATTTTCAAACTTATCTTAAACATTTTTTTTAACTAAATTATCTCCTAAGTTAATATTGGCACATGTGTCACTGACTTTCCACAAACTTTTCAATGTTTAGATCATTGGCCTACTTTACTAACAGTAGAAGTATGGAAGGAAATCCACTTCAACTCGGCATGTCATTCTTCTCTTCTCCTATTTATTTTTCAATTTTTTCCATATTATATTTTTCTTTTTCTTTTTGTGGGTTTCATACCGAAAGGGTTTTTTTTTTCTCCGGTACAAGTGATATAGTCTATAAATTATAAAGGAGAGAGTTTTTCACACACGCATATAATCACGGTGTCATGAAAGTTCGAACCTGATACCACTAATTTACAACTCAAGGCCTTTTTTCCACTACCCTATTGATCCCAGAAAAGCATTTAAATTTAGAATTCGTGTACAAATTATTGGATATCATTAAGTCCCTTTTGGATGAAAAGGGTCTACTTATAGGCAAGTAATTCGGATTTGAGTTTTCAATGTAAATTTAAATTATATTTATTGAATCTTAGAAAATGTTCGATTCAATATATAAGCCATTCGCAATGCTATAATTAACATTTAAAAAAATTAGTTATCCAAAAATACTTTTGGTATGGGCAAAAGTTTATTTTGGGAATATATATATATATAATATATATATAATATGTGATGACAAATAAGAGTTCAAAAACAAATTAATATATGTGATGACAATGACACAATGTAATATATGTGATGACAAATAAGAGTTCAAAAATAAATTAATATATGTGATGACAATAATACAATAAGAGCTTTCAGATGAGTGTTAGACTAAAGCTAGAGCCCACGCGGCCAAAATGTCTCCTTTTCATACACGAAAAAAACAATGTAGCCTTCCCTCATCAACTTATCTCTTCTTTATAAGAAGAGGACATCCTTGTTTCACTTCCCCTCAAACTATCACAGAACAAATCTATCACTCACCAAACTTAGAAGGAGCTTACACCATATAACCATGGCTCCTTCCAAGGTTTTTCCAATCACCTTCTTCTTCGTCTTCTTCTTCACCTTCTTCTCTGTCTTCATCACTCTCTCAAAAGCTCAGATGGTTCCGGCCATTTACGTGTTTGGTGACTCCTTAGCCGATGTGGGTAACAACAATTACCTAAAGATCTCTCTTCTCAAGGCTAATTTCCCTCACAATGGTGTTGATTTTCCCAACAAGAAAGCAACCGGCAGGTTTGGAAATGGCAAGAATTCTGCCGATTTTCTTGGTAAGTTCATTTCAATTACTTACATCATCACTCGTGGCTACAGACTGTCTATGCATGTTTTCAGAATGAGAGAGTACCTCCTGTATATATAAATATAAGTGAGATAGATTTACGCTTCTTGTAGTAAGTGATATCTCTCATATATATTTTACAATGTGTATGTATCTCCTTTTCGTTTGGCAGCGGAGAAAGTTGGGTTGCCAACATCACCACCCTATCTCTCACTTGTATCCAAGTCCAACAAGCAAGATTTGTCCTTTGTCGCCGGAGTTAGCTTCGCCTCCGGAGGGGCTGGAATCTTCAATGGCTCAGACGAAAAATTTGTAAGCACTAATAATATATATATATATATATATATATATATATTGAAACAAATAAAGATACATAACGCACTCTTTCAACAAAATAAAAAAAATAAAAAATTGAACAAATATCTCTTTTGCACGTGTAAAATATTCCACCAAATTGCTTTACAACCCAATTCATTCTTTTTACATGAGGTGGAATCGATACAGGATCCACTTATGAAAGTTGGTGAAAGATGTTATTAGAAAAGTTGGTTCCAATCCCAACTCAACTAAGTTATGCCTAATGTCTAAGAGTGATGTTATTTGTATCATATTTAATAATTATTTTGTTTATCATGATTTTAATATATACGGATCTCATATATATTTGTGATGTTCGTCTCTATTATAGAGATAAGCAAAATGATCAATAAATATGATACAAGTAATATTATTAAATTACATGAAAAATAGAAAGTATTATTGAATTTGTAATATCTAATGCCTTGTCTATTTTACTTTTGATGTCACAGCGTCAGTCAATTCCTTTGTCATATCAAGTAAACTACTATTCTCAAGTGTATGAAGTCATCGGGCTAGAATTATTAGAAAAGTTGGTTCCAATCCCAACTAAGCTAAGTTGTGCGTAATGTCTAAAAAGTGATGTTATTTGTATCATATTTATTAATTATTTTATTTATCACGATTCACAATTCTAATATATACGGGTCCACATATATTTGTGAAGCCCACTTTTATTATAGGAATCAACAAAGTAATCAATAAATATGATAGAAATCACTTAAGAAAAGAAAGTATTATTGAATGGGTAATATCTAATGCATTGTCTATTTTACTTTTGTTTTCACAGCGGCAGTCAATTCCTTTGTCATATCAAGTAAACTACTATTCACAAGTGTATGAAGACATCGGGCTGGAATTGGGATCCAACGGTGCCCAGGACCATCTGTCAAAATCTCTGTTTGTCATTGTGATTGGAAGCAACGACATCTTCGCCTACTTCGACTCATCCAAGCTCCGCGAGGAATCAACACCCAACCAGTACGTAGATTCCATGGTCTCAAGTCTGAAACAGCAATTAGAGGTAACAAAACAGGCTTTAGCTTAGCTCCGCATTTGATTGATGTTATATTGAAATTTCAATTGCACCTCAATGCTCAACATTTTCCCTTTGGTTTTTGTTTTGTTTTGGCAGAGAATAAATTCTATGGGCGCTCGAAAATTTGTAGTTGTCGGGACTGCGCCAGTTGGATGCTGCCCAGCTCAAAGGGTTTCGAATGACGGAGAGTGCAACGACGATGCAAACTCCATGTCTATCCGCTACAACAACGGCCTTAAGTCGATGTTACAGCAGTCGGAAGCGGCATTGCACATTAAATTCACCTTCTTTGAGACGTACGGTGTCTTCTCGGACATCATTCAGAACGGAGCTTCTTGCGGTACTCACATCTTACTTACCTACTCTATCAGTTTTTCTCGCATGTTATGTTATCAGACTGAAAAGTATGCCCGCGCATTCTTATTCGCCAACTTCCCCATACAACTTCTTTAGTTAACTTGACCGAGAAATTCCAAATTGTGTATGCCATTCCAGGATTTACAGAGACCGAAGCGGCATGCTGTGGTTTTGGAAAGCTTAACGCCGACTCTTTTTGCCTGCCGATTTCATCTTTGTGCCCCAACAGAACGGATCATGTCTTCTGGGACAAATTCCATCCTACAGAGGCAACTCATCGTATCTTGGTGGACAAACTTTTCGATGGTCCTTCACAATACACATTCCCAACGAATGTGAAGGAGTTAATTGCTCAATAACAGCTCAAGGAAAATTCATATGCAATAGAAAATTCCACATGTAACTTTAGCATGTTCATAGAATACATACAGATGTAGTTCTTAGGCTAAATGCATGTGCAGAAAAAGAACAGAGAATGAATGATGTTTTTCATTCAAACGAAACAATTATATGCCAGAATCAGGGGCTTCACTTCACATGATATAATTTAAAGGAAATTTAGGATTGAATTGTTTGTTGTCTGCATTCTTCTTTCTTTGGAGGTGAATAGGGAGCGGATCCACTCTCGCTTCTATGTACAAGATGACTCACGCCAACACATATAAGCCATTAGCAATGTTATAATAAAAATTTATTTTAAAAAAAAAATAGTTATCCGAAAACACTTTTTGTATGGCCAAAAGTAAATCCAAGAAGTTACATTTGGGAACAGACAAGCAAGAGTTCAAACACTGAAAAAATATACATTATTGCAAAGGACAATGACACAATAAGAGCTTTGAGATGAGTGCTAAAGCTGAGAGCCCGCACGGCTAAAATGTCTTTTTATCATACGCGGAAAAAAAAATGTACCCTTTCCCTCATCAACTTTTTTACTTCTATTTTTACTAACAAAAATATATCCCTCCTCTATAACATCCACTTGTTTCACTGCCCTCAAACTACAACATACCAAATTTAGGAGGAGCTTACACCACTTACTTCTCTATATACACCTTATTAGTCCCCCATTGCTCTACCATATGATATGATCATGGCTCATTCCAATGTTTTTCCAGTCACTCTCTTCTTCTCTTCTGTCTTCATCAGTCTCTCAAAAGCTTAGATAGTTCCAACCATTTACATGTTCGGCGACTTTAGCCGATGTTGGTAACAACAATTACCTAAAGATCTCCCTTGCCAAGGCTAATTTCCTTCACAATGGTGTTGATTTTCCCAACAAGAAGCAACGGGAAAGTTTGGGAATGGCAAGAATGCTACGGATTTTCTTGGTAAGTTAAATAATTCAATTACTTACATCATCACTCGTGGCTATAGACTGTCTATGCATGTTGTGAGAATGAGAGGGTATATCATGTATATATATAGTCCCCTTCTATTGAAGAATCAGGGACGCCCTTTAGGGTACCATACAATTTTTTTCCTCATGATCCAAACCATCTATTTTTTAGGTCTTCATTCATAGGTCATTCTTACAAAAAATTAGACAAATCAGAAACCGTTTCGACATCCAATTGTGTCTTACAAAATCAATGAACACGGTGTTTCAAAAAAGTACTAAAATTTCAATAACCCAATTAAGTGGTCAAATGATATCGGATTCAAGTGATTTTTTGTAGAGATGATCTTTGAATGAGTATCTACAAAATAAACGGTTTGGATTAGTGAAATAAAATCCGGAGTATGGCTTACAAGGGGTGTCCCTCAAATAAGCTTATTTGAGGGATCCTTAAACTGGGGCCGGTCTTGAGATTTGGAAGGCCCTGTGTGAACCTTAAACTGAGGCCTCACATAAGCTAACACAAATTTACACCATTACGTAATGCCATATAATAAAGTTTTTTTTCCTTCTTAAAGTGACCAAAATACCCCTACTCCCAAGGGCAAAATTGAAATTTCACAAAAGAATTAAATTGGATTAAATCGATTAAATTGAGTCAGGGATGTTACACATTTTGAATAATCACCATGATTGTGACGATGAGTCTTTGTCATCATAGATCATATTCAAATATTAAATATTTTTTAACACCTAATTTATTTTGTATCAATATTCCAAGAACATCATTAATTGGATGCAGTTTTTTTGGTTGAGTTAGTTGGATACATTATTTTTGCAAAATTGAATATATGAGCATATATAAAAACAATCGTGTACCACTTTACTAACCACATTTTTAATTGAGGTGATCACTGTAATTGTGACGATGAGTCTTTGTCATCATTGATCATATTCAGATATTAAATATTTTTTAACACCTAATTTATTTTGTATCAATATTCCAAGAACATCATTAATTGGATGCAATTTTTTTGGTTGAGTTAGTTGGATGCATTATTTTTGCAAAATTGAATATCTGAGCATATATAAAAACAATCGTGTACCACTTTACAAATCACATTTTTAATTGAGGTGATCACCATGATTGTGACGATGAGTCTTTGTCATCATAGATCATATTCAGATATTAAATATTTTTTAACACCTAATTTATTTTGTATCAATATTCCAATAACATCATTAATTGGATGCAATTTTTTTGGTTGAGTTAGTTGAATGCATTATTTTTGCAAAATTGAATATCTGAACATATATAAAAACAATCGTGTACCACTTTACTAACCACTTTTTTTTTTTTTTTTGTAACAAGGAGGGCTAAAAGCCCATAACAAACAGACTAAGCACAAACAACACGGGACCTAGACACCCAAATAGCATCCTCGGCCAAACAAGTCAAAAGAAAAGCAGGCACCTCACTAAAATACTGCACCCCAGGGCCAAACTCAGAACTCTTAGAAGCCAAGACATCATCCGCTACATTCTGCTCCCTGAAGATATGCTTAACTGAACATCTCCAACCAGCATGCACCTTTAACTTGCAACAACTAATAAGGCTAAACAAGGGGTGTGTGGAAATAGTAGAGCTTGACAGAAGAGCCACAGCCACACTTGAGTCACTTTCCACCTCCACAAAACGAAAGCCAGACTCCCAAGCCAAATGAAGCCCCTAAAAAATGCCCCACAACTCAGCTTCAACAACAAAACCAACACCCAGGTTCACAGAGAAGCCCTTAATCCAAGCACCATAATTATCTCTTAAGAGACCACCAGCACCAATAAACCCAGAATCACTATTACGACTTCCAACTGTGTTAATCTTACAAACTCCATAGGTAGGGGCTATCCAATGAAGTTGAACAACAGATGGCATATAAGAAGGGGAAGTAGGTTTGGTAGCATTAAACCATTCTAAAGCATACTAAAGAATTAATTGTTGTGGTTCACCAGGCATAACAAACATTGATCAAAAAATCTTTTACATCTCTATTTCCAGATAAACCACAAATAAAGAGAAAAAACCAAAGGCCAAGGCAACCCATTATAAACCTTTCTTTTAGATTGAAGATTCCTTAATAGCCACTCTTTAAAATCCATCATATCAAGGCTAGAATTATCTCCAATTTGAAGACAATTCCAAATAGCCAAAGAGAAAAGACAATCCTTAAACAAGTGAGCAATAGTTTCCATAGGATAATCACATCTAGGACAAGTAGGAACCTGAGTGAGGCCTCTCTTCTGCCTTTGCACATTAGTAAGCAACTTTTGATGACAAACAATCCAAAGAAAAGTTTTAACCTTAGGAGGGAGCCGCAACCTCCAAAGAAACTCCCAGTCCCATTTAACTGAAGCCTCAGCAGGTAAAAAAGAACTATAAGCTGATTTACCGAGAAAGAACCATTAGGTGTGAACTGCCAAATGTATCTATCAGCCCCACTACCATTAAAACCAGCATGCACACTTAAAATTAACTGAATAATATGACGAGGAAGACATTCCCTTAAATAGTTAAAGTCCCAGACCCCCTCTTCCAAAAAATCACCAACATTCAACTGAAGCAGTTCCTCAGAGAGATCAATGAGAGCATATTTATACAAAGGACCACAACTCAACCACCTATTAGTCCAAAATAAAACATTATCCCCAGAACCTACTCTCCACTTAACACCTTTGGAAAGGGCAGAATTACCATATAAAACACCCCTCCAGACACTCGAGCTACAAGGAAAATAAGAGTCCTTCAAAGCTAAAATGTTCTGTTGTTTTAGATATTTAGCATAGAAGACCTAAGACCACAAACCTTGCTCATGTTGAAGAAGTCTCCATCCAGTCTTAGCCAAAAGAGCTTGGTTCATCCAAGCAAACCTTTTAATGCCTAATCCACCAGCTACCTTAGGTTTACACACTTACTCCCAATTGACAAGATGGATTTTAGATGTGTTAATGGATTTTAGATGTGTTACTGGTATGCCCCCAAAGAAAATTTCTGTTGAGCTTGTCCAATTTATCACAGACAGACATAAGCAACTTGGCAATTTGCATAGTATAGATAAGAATTGCAACAGTAACAAATTGAAGCAAAGTAATTCTACCAGCCATAGATAACGTATGGCTCTTCCAAGAAGCTAATCTCTTCTGAACTTTAGCAATAACCTCTTGATACGTTTGTTTAGTAATTCTAGTATGAATAAGAGGGACACCAAGATATTTACCAAGGCTAGTAGTGAGAGGAGAACCACTAATCACAGCAATTGAATTAGCCAACTTAGAGCATGTATTTGAGGAGACACATATCATAGACTTTTCAAAGCTAACTTGCTAACCGAACAACTGATAGAAATCATCCAAACATTGTTTCATCAACCAAGCTTGATTAGTAGTAGCTTCCCCAAAAAGAATTAAATCATTAGCAAAAAATAAATGGGAAATATGAGGACCTCCTTGACAAATCTGAACAGATTTCCAAGCTCTATTCTAAATTTTTTGCTGAATGAGATGAGAGAGTTTTTCCATACACAACACAAAGATATAAGGGGAGAGAGGGTCCCCCTGCCGAATACCATACTGAGGAGAGAACGAGTCAGTTAGCTCCCCATTAAGAATGGCCTTGAACTGCACAGATGTGATACACTGCATAAGCAACTCCAAAATGCTTCCTTTAATGCCCACTTCCCAAAGCACCTCCTAAATAAAATGCCATTGCATACGATCATAAGCTTTGGATAAATCAATTTTCCAAGTTATAAAAGCCTTCTTCCCTTTGGCAGATTTAAATTTGTGGAGCACTTCTTGAGCAACAATAATGTTATCTGTAATTTGTCTCCCTAGGTCAAAACTAACTTGACTAAGGCTAACAAGCTTAGTCATACACGGCCTAAGCCTAGCCACAAGGATTTTAGAGACCACTTTATAAAGAGTGTTGCAAAGACTAATAGGCCTAAGCTAATTCATAAACATATGCCTTTCCACTTTAGGCACCAAAGCAATCAGAGTCTCATTTAAATGATCAGGAAAGGAGGCAGTATTAAAGCAATCCTGTACAAGGGAAATGATATCATCAGAGCAAACCCCCCAATAATCCTAGTAGAACAAAGCTGGGAAACCATCAGGTCCTGGGGTCTTTAATCTACCAATAGCAAACACACTATTCTTGATCTCTTCAATAGAAACATGACAACTTAGACCTTCAAGATCAGCCTCTTCAAGGCTAGGAAACAACTTAGGAAGCAAAGCATAGTCACCAACCATATCAGAAGCACAAAA